TTTTCTTTGTAAAAACTTCAATTGAATTTCAATAAAGTTAAAGACATGGCCTCACTGTTAATATTTAAAAAAAAAAATTAACTATACTTAATGCAGTAGTCAAATTTATTTGTTCTTTGGTTTTTATTTGTAATAAGTTTAAAAAAAATTGAACCTTTATATGTAATTACTTTTAGTTTGGACCCAAATTTGTAATTATATTCATTTTTCAAGCCCTTATATATAAATTCTTCTAAAATAAAACATCAAAAACTAGTAACAAATAATAATATTAACAAATTATTTACATATATATAGTATTTAATGAAGTTTTAATAATGAATGATATATAAAATAAAAAACCCTAACTATATAATAGTAAATTTATTTAAATATTTTGATAAGTTTATTTTATACAAATAATATTGATATATAAATAAATGCCACTAAAAGAAAAAAGATTTCAAACTTTAAATTTTTAGGTGTTGAATTCGTTTATTATAAGTTCAAAAGCCAGAAGTCTAATTTTCATTTAATAGTACTCAAATACAAATAAAAGACTATCACTTTATTTATTGCTTTTGTACATTTTTATATAAGTCAGCTGTACTTAATGGCTATATGCAAAATAATTTGATTTACCAATTTTTTCAAATCTTAGAGGATTTAATCTTAGCTGTGTTTAACTTTTTTCAAGAGTTTAAGCTTTACTGGAAGTTTTATCAGTTTTGACTTTCATCAGGTTTAGTTTCAACTTTTGCCAGGTTTAGTTTTAATTTTCACCATTTACCAATAATATTTTCACCTAACAACACTATATGCATTATATGATAGTTATGGTACGATTTCTTGAAAGTTATTTACCCGACAGGTCACTTAGCCAACATCACAAGGTTAACAAATTGCTTAAAATATATACCTGCAGCTAATCAAATGCTAACCTTAACTCTATGTGATATCGGTCAAGTGATGTCAGTAAATAACTTTTAGGAAATTGAGCAACAACCATTTCTATATTTATTATAGATTGTTGCACTATTTTACATAATTATCTAATTAAAATTACATATGAGACTTTTTTGTCTATTGCTATATGTAACTTGATTGTTCTTAATTTGCATATAGGCTTCTCTATCTATATGTAGCAGACTATATCTTGATTTTCTCTAATTTGTATAAGTATGCGTATTACCAGTACAAATATTGATTTATTATACATTGTAAATGGGAAAAGATCGTCAGGTCAATAGCACCAAAATTGAGTACATCGTATAACCACTTTGGGTTAATTTCGTTCGAAAGAGGCATGTTAGATTTGGTGAGTGGTCAACAGAATTATATTCGGATTCTTTTAATAAAAGAGAAGTTTTGGGTTGGTTATTAGGTAAGTGTATTAATGAAAGTTAGTGTTTACAGGTTAGGAACAGATTAAGTATTAGTGAATGTATTATTTTATTTGTCAAGGGCAGGAATTGTTGTTTTTTCCAAAGGGCCTTTCAGCCTTTATTTATAATTGTATACTTCTATTTACATTTCATGATGCATATGACTAATATTACCTAAAGGACTATTCTAACTGATTGCTGCTATCCGTCATATCCATCATTTGCGACTGATATGACTGATGCAACCTATCAGTCATATATGACAGATGCGATAGATGTGATGGATGTGACCAATCTTTGCCTAACTGGGATATGACTCCCAAAGTGGTTAGTGTCCATCCGGGTTCCACATTTCTCTCCAACTCAAGGTTGAGTTCCACAAGACCAGGTCAAACCACAGGGACAGTTCTCCACTAGGATCAAAAACTCTATACATTGGTAAGTATTAAAGGGCCTTTCATTTGTCCTTTTCGACTTCCATTTGATTTTTCTTAATCATAGTTCCATTGTAGTCATTGTTATTGTCATTATTATCTTCATCATTATCAACAGCAATGTCATTTTCACCAAATTCAAATTTCTCTTCGGCAATCTTAGGAGGTCTTCTAAATGTTTCCTTTTCATCTTTTGTATCAAGTTCTTGATAATGATCAGGTTCAGATTCCTCACTGCAAGTTCTATATTAACAGGTCTTTGATGATCCATCTTGATTAGTTTATTATTTGGTATAGATGGGTTTTCAGCCTTTTTGAATACTATCCAAAAGCTTTGTGATCATTCTTTTCAACTCCAATTCCAATATTTAGCACCTCTTCTTTGGCATCAGTAAGTTCATTTTTGAGGTTATCTTGGGTTAATCTCCTAAACTCATCAACCCTTCTATTCCAATCTTTACAGGATTGATCCAGGTTTTTCAATACAAAACATTGCATATCAGAATTCTTGCATTTAGCCTTTTCAACTTCAATTCTATTGTTTATATTCTTTTCGATCTTGGTTCCATTGTCAGTCATATCCTATATCATATCATCATTATCATTAATACCATCATCGGTTTTATCCTCATCAGGTTCAAATTTCTTTTCCACGATCTTAAAAGGCCTTCTTAACACTTTCTTTTCATCTTTAATTTCATTTTGACAATGTTCACCAATATTTGTCACATCTCTTTCGGCTTCGGCGAGTTCTTTTCCTACAAGTTCTTCTTTCTCTTTCTTAATGCCACTTTCTGGCAAAGATTCTAATCAGCAGAATAAATATGCGAAATATTGCGAAAGATTTTGCATACCAAAAATCTTTCGAAATAACTGCGATTGTCGCGAAATTATTTCAAAATAAAATAATTTCGCAATATTGCGAAAGAAACGAAATAATTTTGAAAATATTTCGGCTAATTTACAAAATTTTAAAAAATAATAAAACTAAAAAAAAATGAAAAAATAA